GTTATCGAGTAGAAGCACAGAGTCCGAGCAATCGCCGAGCTGGAACTCTATCTCTCTATGTCACATTGGACATTGAGGTTCCGGGGTCGAGTAAACTAATACAGCAGAGCAAGAGTAGATTGTATGGAAGTGAGAATGATTATTGACATTGCGCTGTTACGTTCGGGCCACGCGAGAAGAGTGCGGCCCTGCTGCAGGATGACGTATTACTCCCACATCTCGGCATTCCCGCTCCAATGTGATCCAAGCACAACCACAAGCGACGAAATAAGCACTGTCGGCCAGACCCAGTTGGGTATGTAGGTTTTATGCACATCAGAACGACCGGGAATCGATCGGGAGCGGGAGCAGGGAGTAGGGATGTTTTGTATACTCCTACCAGTTTAGACACGCTCCCGTAGGTTGCGCGTTAAATACGCAAATAAAAATCTGACAGTTACCGAGTCTCGCCAGTCATGTAACCACCGACCCCGCCAGAGATTGACCGAGGTTAAATGGAAAGGAAGGGGATTGTGGACCTTGCAGTAAAGATGAAATCTTGTCTAGATGTTTTTTAGGCCTATTATCTCTATATGTTTCTCTATGCTTTACACAAGTTCTTAGTCGTCTTGGTTGTCGCCAAGTATTAGCCCCTCGAGTTGTAATATTTTCCTACACTATTCTCGAGTTTTTCTATCTCGCTCGACTTGAACTGTCAACCATTTTTATCGATATTACACTTTGCAGTTGTGCCGAATGCGAACAATACCACATTATGTAAGCTATCGATATGAGATTTTATGAGAACGATTCCACCCTACGGTACAATTTTCGTGGAAGGGATGATAATCAGTGCAGTAGGGTAAAGTCGTACTATTTTGCACTTTTTCGGTAATTTACCGGAAATATGAGATGTAGGGGGTGGTCTTTTGCTCTTGAGTGGTAATTTAACGGAAATATAACATGTAGAGGTTGGTCCTTCCGTAATGGGGGGTTAATAAGGTTCAGCCTGCTGTTTTGGGACTTAGCGAATTTTCTTATCAAAGTAGCAGGCTAGTCTTTGGGCAGTTATCGGGGGGAAGGGTGAACTCTTTCCCTCCCACTACCCTACATCATATAATGATAGAACACATACCTGATATCTTCTCCCATGGCCTAGATGGTACAGCTTCTATTGTACATCCACAATGATGCAGGTTCAACCCCCGGTTATAGCTGCAGTATTTTTTGAAGACAATACCAGTATGTGGCTCACTAGTATCATAGGATAATGCACCACCATATTACCATTGTTCATCCAATTAGTTCTACTATTGTTCGAGATTTTATCCTTAAATGTGGGTAACCTAGCTCACCTCATATTCATGGTAATTTACCATTTCGAAATTGTACCGTAGGGTACTGTAATTGAGGATGTTAGCGCAACTCACGCCAAACGATCCAATTCACATATACACACTCCAGGACTGGGTCCTCCCCAGCGAAAAGCATTTTGAACCCAAATAGTTCCACCATAGACGACCATAGACGACGTAACAAGATGATGAAACTTGGTGATTATTGACGAGAGAGCTTATGATAAGGCAGGAGAGACGCGCAACGTCGTATAGAGCGAGGGTGAGACTAGTTCTTTATTCGTATTAATCCCTTGTGTTTATCAAGCTTGGTTGTAGTGGTTGAAGTAAGCTGATGGAAATTTTGTTCTAACTTGGGTGAAGGTGCGGGGTACAGTTTGAGCTCCGCTGCTACGTATTGCCGAAGGTGTGGTTTCGGACTGCCTGTATTCCGCCGGGATGCGCAGCCAAGCGCCAAGGTATCACCATTAAACTCCTACTCGAGGCCAATTCGTCTTTTCTCGTGAGCTACTGAAGGAGGTTTCACAATCTATAATACTCGGGCCAAATTCTTGGAAACTTAGGGTTAGGGCTACGCCATCAGGTTCACAATACTTTTACAGAACGGGATTCCGCACACAGCGGCATTTCTGTGAGATGATGTTTTGGGGAGAAACCACGGAACCCTCATAGTTTGATCCCTCCAGACTCCCGATCCTAGTCTCTCTCAAGACCTTTTTGTTTGTGCCATCGCTATCTGCACTGGATCGACCGGCGCGCGGTACCGGAGAGATGGACACCTCGGTACTCATGACCCGAATGGAAGTAATTCTACTTTTAGTTCGATGACTAGGTATCCAGGGTGGGTTCCCACAGGTGAGCTAAGACAGTGTTACGATAAGATATAAGCCCACAAAGAACTGAGCAAATTATTTATTAGGCGTCGATATGCCTCAGGGGGTCAGTCCAAACTAGCCATGTGCTCCACTCAACGCAGTCACCAAGCCCATCAGTACCATAGTATCCTTTGCCTTCCTTTCATCGGAAGGGGTGCTTCCATCTCCAAATGCTGAATAACTCACTCGCGGAAAGCAGTACTGCCGAGTTCCGGCGGCGCAGCTAGCGGGAGGCACGTAATCACAGACTATCACTCGTCTTTGCGTTCATAGTTGGTCACTCGGGCTTGGCGCCGGGAGTGTGTGATCAGCCGATCAGCATTTGAGGGTGAGGTTTACGGACCGTGCATTTTATTGCTTACCAAGGGATGAAATAAAATAAGGTTAGACCATTCATGTGCAACCAACTCAGCTGCTCGGGTTAACGATCCGGGGGTGCGGGGGCCTGTAAGTCGCGAAAATAGTATCGTTGTGCTGGGGGTTAAGAAGGCCTTGCAGACACCACGACATCACAGTAGAAATGCGGCTCTTAGCTTTGCGTTCCACGGATGCGCTCTCACATCCCCACGGTAGACTGATAAAGTGCCCAGGATCTGCAGAGGTAGCGCGTGCGCAACGGCTTCAGGCGGTTACCCGCTTTGCGTTCCAGAGAAACGAACTAAGGTAGATTTCATTCATTAGGGTATACCCCAATAAGGGAATTCAGCTCTATGCCTAAGTTCGCTGGACGATTCGAGCCCAATTAATGAGCGAGGTGGCTTGGGCCCTTCCGAATTCCCGGCCCCAGGACAGCAACCCTTGCATGACTACAAGCAAGGGTAAACCCTGATTTGCCGACCCGACCATTTCTTCTAAGCCTAAATTCCGATCCCGGGTAGTAAGCTTTTAGAGAAATTAAGTTCTGTGCTGCAAACCCTTGGCAAAAAGATAAAAGTCTCAGGCAGATGGTGGCTCCACCGCACAGCAACATCGTCGACATATTAAAGATCGTTCTCTTTATTTCTCCAGCTATACATCTCATCCACGATAGCCCGTTCCCCGGCCCGCCGGAGCATCACATCTTACTCGGTCACTTCATTTCACAATAAACACACTATTCCGGAATACACTGTATTTAAAATATTCGAGAGCACACCGCTAGCTTCCCAGAAATACGACGACACGTGATACATCGCTATCTCTTTGCAAGGTACCATCCCTCAGATACTTGGGGAATTTATAGGAACGAACACCATATAGCAATTTCTTTTACCTGGCAACATGCGTAGTTATTTCGGTAGTCTGAGACATAACCGCTACTGGAGCACCTTTTTTTTTTTTTGTTTAATTCATTGATTACGAGTTGAATCTCAAATTATTACATATTTATTTGAGATTTGTCTAGCCTTCGCATTGAACCCGATAGTTCCACAACCGAGAATTATTAACATTTAAAATAGTTTATACTGCTAAACCTATATGTATAAGGATGTATTTACTGCGTTAGTTACCTGCTGGTACCTATATATTACTGCTCCAGGTCTAGGGAGCCCTCCCCCTTGCTTTCTGCTACAATTTGCGCCGCGTAGTGTCCTATCAAAACATAGCACTACTCAAGCGTAATGCTTGCACAACTTCTATGCTCCAGCTAGCCTCATTACACCGCGAACTGCTGGTCAAAGTCCCCCGATCCAGAGTACCAGCAACGTAAAAATAGTATACTTACCCTGAGCCATTCAGTTGTTAAGATGTATAGTTTATTCTTTTAGCTACAGATCACTACAATGATCTTATAATTTCTTTCTGGGCCTCCATAGACACACCTTATGCGATTTATTCAACAGAATATTGTTTGGCATTTCGCCAAGTCCGGAGGTAAATACGCAATATTAAGATATATATAAATCGATAGCATGGTGTTCCACTAAATTGCTATGAAATGGCTTCTTATAACGATTTTAGATACGGCTACCAAGATCGCCTGTATGATCCGCTTAGATGTACCGAGGCTAAATACGAGCCATCGCGCCTGGGACAGCCCACGCCATTGAGACCTATGAGAGTTTTCCCAGCGGTAGCGTTTAAATCCGGTGTGGCTGTTTCAAACTTTGCGAATTTCGCGGGGCCATTCCGGTATCAAATCACTAGGGAAATTTCGGAATAATGGGTTGAGTACCTGCAATGCGAGGGGCGGAATATCGGCCCACAGTTCATTTGTCACCCGCGACAGGGGGTACAATCCGCAACAATTGTGGGAATATAAGAATCGTTAATGGAATTAGAACAATAGAGAATTCTACATCTATTAGATCAGTGAAAGGTGACATATATATACTCGGCAAAATTTATACAATGGCCGGTAGAATTATTGCAAAAGTGGGTTTTCCGTGACCAGATAGCCCTATCTGCCCTTGAAGGAATTTTGGCAGTGAAAAGTACAGATCAAGAAGCCCACTCGCTCTGTTAGTTCTGACTTCCGCAATAATTCTACCAGATTGTGTGCAGTGTACAGTTCCCTACGGTACAATTATTTGGGTGTGAGGAGCTTAATTTATCCGTTTCAGGAGTGCACTGAAATGTGGGTAACATAGGTCACCTCGTATTAATGGTAGTTTACCATTTCGAAAGTGTACCCTAGTGTTGATAAACGCTTTGAACATGCGATTAAATTACGCTCAATGCACACTCGCCCGTGCTGTTGATAGTTTTTTCAAACAATGAAACTAGTCTGTGGTACGTATATAGACTAAGTACCGACCAACTCTGTCCATACAGATGATAGAAAAACTACCCCCCCCCCCTTTCCCGAAAATCACAAAAAACCCTGCTCCGTCTTCACCTCGTACGTACAAGCCGCACACGTACAATCCGGCCCATCCACCTTTACCTCATCCACCTCTTCATCTACATCTACCACAGCCAGCGTTCTTCGTTTTCCCCCTCGCACGATAAGCGGCGTTCCCCCAGTACCTCCTCCCATTACCCCACCGGGCCCGTAGTGCGACACGATGATGGGCCGGCCTTCTGCCCTGTGGTGGGGGGCGGCGGCGTATGGCGTGCCGGAGATGATGATGGGTGTGCCGATGTTGGAGCAGTTAGTTGGCGTGGGCGTGGGTGTGGGTGTGGGTGTGGGCATTGTGGCGGTCATGGGCTGGGTGTGCTTGCCACTGCTTGGGGGCGTTGAGATGAGGTTTGTTATAAGAGAGAAGAGAGATTTGGGATGAGATGGAGGGGATTGAGGGAGTCGAGGTGGGATACCTAGTGAGGAGATGGGGTTTGCGGGGTTGATGGCTGACTACTTAATTGTTGCTACCGCTGACCTGGAGCAGCACGGACCTGTTTCCGGTGTCGGGGGAAAGGCACTATTCGTTATCAAGTTACTCGTATTCGAAGCCCATGCAACCGATCGACTATCTGCTGTCGCCTGGTCGGCATCGTATGATTTTATTACACTTCAGGCACCGACATATGTATTTACTCTTGTTTGAGATTTGTATGGTTGCTACGGCTTGCATGCCGAATTGACCTTCATTGACTTTATGCAGAGTCGGTTGTGTTGAGAACCCGCGCCTGCCATAGCTAAACGGCGGGATTGGCTGGCTCAATGGCATTGATCTTCGCCGGGAGTGGCTTCGGTCTTGGACCTTTGGATGCCTGATCGAAGGCGCAGGGATAAGCAAATACAGACTCCAATTGGCTGCAAGGTCGCTCGCCCCATCTCCTGGATGGAGAATATGTACTGCACATCGTCGGAATACATTTCCGCAATACGGCAATTACTGATGGAGTGTTACTATGCGGTAGCTGTATAAGACGCTCACTTCACCCCTCCCCGCTAATCCCCACAAACCCTCCACAGCTTTACAAACCGCATCACCGCATTACCGCCGCTCCCACACACCCCACTAAAACCCACACCATGTCCCTCTACTACGTCTATGCACGCTACCACCCCACAATCCCCACCGACCCACCCACAATACTTCGCTACCTCATTACCTGCGCCTCCCGCGACCATGCCAACGCCTTCTATCGCCACTTGTTGGCGCGCATGCGCTTCTCACGCGTCTCGGCCCAGTTCTGGGCCTACGACCCCGTCGACCCCAACTTCGGCATGCAGCAGACGCTCGACGACTCCACGCTCCCCGACGACATCCGCCGCGGCATTATGATCAGCCGCCTGCCCGAGCCTGATACAACCACGGGGTGGGTCCAGGCGCCGGTGCAGGCTGGCCGTGATTGGATCAGTGGCCGCACATACTTCATCCGCAACGTGCGCCAGCCGGACGTGTACTGGTACCATCCCGGCTGCGGGGATGAGCGCATTCTGGCATCGCGGTGGCAGAAGACAAAGTTCTTTATAAGGATGTCGGATGCGGATGAGGGGGAGACAGGCACGGTGTTGATAAAGAGTGATAAGATACGGGTGACGACGGCGTCGGGAGAGGGGAAGGGGATGGTGGTGAGGAGGGGGGATGAGGGGCGGGTAGTGGTGGTGAAGCCGTCGGCGAAGGAGGTGGCGACGGCGGTGGGTGACTTTACGTTTGGTGAGCTGGCGGGTGCGTTTGGGACGGAGTGGGAGGGTGGGGAAGGGGAGGCGCCGGGGGTGGGCGTGCCATGCGAGTGTGTGACGTGGGGCGATAGGGCAGAGATGCACTTGGATGATTGGGAGCTGTGTTAGAAGGTCTTATTAGATTGTTTTTCGTTGCTATTCCAATAATAAAGCCTGCTTATAATTTACTGAATCTGAATCCTGTCGGAGGGTGGAGATATGACTAGAATTGTCATAGATTGTAGCGTTCAATTGGTCAAGTCTTTACAAATGTTGTAGAGTAGATAAAACTCGTCCTTGAACCCTTTTCTTTGAGCAAGACGCTCCTTCGATACACAAAGCAATACCCGTCAAAGCCCACAAATGTCGCCTGCGAGCCCCACCGCCAAGGTGCCAAGACCGGGCGATATCTGATGACTGCCTCTCTGATCCAACACTGGAGCGTAAAATATTTTCTCCCGTTTTTTGCCACACTTGCTGACACATTAGGCTTCCTACCATGATTCATAATCGATGTGAGCGGAATGCCGCGCCTTTCTGTGATAACAAAAAAACAGACCCGAACAACCGTGGATTTAAGGCGGACGCGATTCTCAAACAGCCTAAGCCCAGCATCGCCCAAAGGCTCCTACTCTGTATTTCTAAACTGCTCTAATACTACTAACAGATAACGTGAATTTAAGCTTTCTGGGGCGGGCACTACTTCTCGCGCGGGTATCCCGGTATTTCTCCATATTACTCTTGGAGCTCTTGGCGCTAGAATTGGTTTCACCTGATGAAATTTCGGCGGACACTCGTCACGTATTAACGCATAGTAGTATTCTAATGAGTATCGAAATTTATCAACAAATTATCTGGTGTTGATGCCATTTGACTGGCTGGCGCCGCCAGTCGTTCCCAGAGCACCGCAAGCGAGTCTCCTTTGGCCTTGTAACCATGGCAACGCATGCGCATCCGATCACTCGGAAGGTTCCTTCGAAAAATACAATGATAGAAAGAAGCCCCCTATTTGGTCCGGATTCAGTCGGAAACATATCTAAGAAATATGGAATTGACGATGAAACAAGGTGTCTAATTGCTATGAAATTGGGTAAACTTCAACACTTTGAGTACTAGTTCATATCCCTCCGGAGGCACTTAATTAAACACTGATATTTCGACGCAGCTCTTTTGGTGCGAGAAATATATAGCTCGATCACTTTTCGAGACTTGGAGTTGATTACTCTTTTTGAAGCCAGCGTTGCTCTGCAGATTCTTTCTTCTAAATTTCATATCTGTGGGTTTGGTTATCGTTTATTCTTTTTCATTGCAGAGGCGTACTTTCTTACTACGACTTACTACATCCGCTCACTAAGCTAGTGGTCTCCAAAGACTACTCCTGCCAGTATGATGGAATCCCAAATCTACTCCTCACAATCGACGCTATTAAAGTATCAGGGTTAGGGTTCCATCACTCACTCACAGTAAACAACCGCGCGCGGGAGGAGTTCAAATAGTACCCCTCTTCTGACCTCAGATGTTCAATCTTTTCTACTTCCTCGGAAGTGCCGGAGTTGCTAGGGAAGGTTTGATAGCGCCTGTTTGTTCGAATATAATAGAAGATTCTAACCCAATGTTTGATCCCATGTTTGCTTCCAAATTTGCTTCCAAAGTTTGCTCCGCATGCCCTGGAATCTTCTAGCAAATTCTAGACATTTCAGACGCTACTTTTGGCCGCCTTTGCCCTACTCTTCGCCGCCTTGGCAAGCCTTAGCCCTGAGCCCTAGCTAGTTTTCGCCGACTTTGGGCCAAAGCCCTAATTCAAATGGAATTGTATTTCGGGAGTATATATACTGACCCTTCCCCCCTCTCCCTCTTACATCACCACAGACACACAGCTGCGGGGTATGGCTCTGCACCCAGTTTCTTCTTGCTCGACCGGCACCAGTTCGCTGGTAGGCTTTTCTGAACTCCTTACTCGACCGGCGGCAATTCTACTGACAGGCTTTCCTAAAACTACTTTTTTCCCTATGCTCGACCAGCGCCAGCTCGCTGGCAGGCTCCTCTTCTGTTTTTCCTCTGCTCGACTAGCACCAGTTCGCTGGTAGGCTTTTCTAGAACTAATCTCTTGCTCGACCAGCACCAGTTCGCTGGTAGGCTTTCCTCTCTATTTCCTATGCTCGACCAGCGCCAGCTCGCTGGTAGGTTTCCCTTCTGTCTTTCTTTTTTCTCCTGTCTTTCCTTTGCTCGACCAGCGCCAGCTCGCTGGCAGGCTCCTCTTCTGTTTTTCCTCTGCTCGACCAGCACCAGTTCGATGTTAGGCTTTCCTGGATCTACTCCTCTTCCTATACTCGACCAGCGCCAGTTTTCTTTCTTTTTTTCTTTTTCTTTCTTCTTTTTCATTTCCGGTGTGGTTGTTATTATTTAACTCAATAATTGCATGCAACCTTACCGTTATCGTTATAGCAATACTACACTAACACCAGATCCCCCAGCTACCTCCATCACCCTGACATTACGAACTCGTTATAAATAAAACAGAAACGAAACGTAACAAACAATGAATGATCAATCTCAGTCTTCATCAATTAGTCCTCCCAATCCGCATCTCATGTCTCTCCTTTTTTTTTCGCCCCTTCGGATGGTTCTCCCCTTTCATACCTCCTCTTAACGAATCTTTTCTATATCTTCAAGGCCGTGCCTATAGCAACTGCACCTCAATGCCTCTTTGATTCTCAACCTCTTGTGTTGTTTGCTTCATTGAAGTTTGGCAATCGCGTTAAATTCCATCAGCAAATGTGCGTTTGCCGTCTTGCTTGCTTCCTGGTGACTGCCGTCAGTTAGTTGGCAGATTTCCTTATCAAGTTCTTCACTGTGCCTTTACTCTACCAGCATCTATCTATCCTCCGGTAGTCCTTTCTACCAACATTCATTTTAATCGGGCGGAACGAACCTCATTAGTAGACTTTCCTATTATGCCATTAAACTCCTAGCTTCCTTTGTATATTCGTTTGACCTGCACCAGTAAGCTCGTAGGCGTCTTTGTTCAGTTTACAATTCCTTGGTTCTCTCGTAGTCTTCTATAACCTAGTTTTCAAGTATTACTAGACCGGCGCCAGTCCGCTGGCAGGCCCCCCTTTCAAGATCCTAACTTTCCTTCTCTTAACCAGAACTACTTCTCTCTAGGTCGAGACTAGTCCTATGGTCGGGTCCCCTGTGAAATTCCTGATGTTCCTTGTTTCTCGTGTAGCGCCAATCTACTGGCATGCTTCCCTATTCAATTTCCCTATCCTAACCTCTTTCTCTCGACCGGAACCAATCCTATTTGTAGGCCTTTATATCAAATTCCCGTTCTCTTCTTAAGCTAATTCTCTTTCCTTTTCCCCACTAGAACCTATCTTTGGGCAGGCTCTCATAACCCTCCCTCGTACTATCCATTTCGCCCGACCTGTACTCGCACGTCAATTATGTATTTGCCCAACCAGCAAAACACACCAAAAATCGAGGTTTTCAACAACTCATAAAAAGCCCCACAGCTAAACCAAAATATCAACAACCAAGTATAGTATAATTTTGATAAAGGAGGTCCATGCTTCAAATTCTTGGCCCAATTGAGATACTGGTAAAGGTGCCATAACAGGACCCTTTTAGACACATTTCACCTTCAGGGCTTGTTCTTTGTAGATATGGCCTAAAAGTGGCCTGTAGAGTCTTTCAGGTGTCTAGATAGAAGACACATAATTTCAGGGGAGATGGGAAAGCTCTCTGGATTCTGTGTGTGTTTTGCTGGTTGCGCAAATACATACTTGATATGCGAGTATATATACCCGAATTTGCGTCATGAAATATCACTCGTTTCTTCGGTGATAAGATAATGTCTTTGTTCTCGGGAGGTGGCGATGGGAGTTTCTTTTGTTCCGTCTTTGAGTGGTTGGCGGGTAAAGGCTTTGATTTCATTAGATATATGGAGTTTTTTGGGATAATTAGAATTAGCTTAACTCATTTACTACTACGAAATAAAAAGATTAAATAGCGTGATCTCCAACCGTCTCCAAACTCCATATACTGAAATATTTCTAAGGACCCATGCTGCAATTCCGCCCAAACTATCGTTGAGTTTGGCGATGCTGGCCACACTACAATACGGGAATTAGATTTGTATGGGTGATCTATTGTATGTTTGATAAGGGACATAACAGGACCTGTTAGTAAAGTGTTACAAAATCTTCTTTTTGGGTGGGCATTTTTAGCGCTAGACGCACCTTTTGCTGTTTCGTGAGTCATGGGAACGCAATAGATAGAGGTGAGATTGATGAAACTATGTAAATGATTGATAAGTAATCGAGGATTTACTATGCTAGCGACCGTCTTGGCACTAACCAATAAGGGGTTAGGGTTGTTTACCAGCCGACGGGATTGTTGATTTAAATGATATCTTCCTGAAAGGTTTGACTTGGGTTTGTCCAGAGCGTGAATTGATTCTAGAACTAGCTATATAAGAAACATGAATTTTGGATAGAATCATAAACGACCAGTGGAGAAGCGTTTTACAGCTCCTTCAGTACACCGCGTAAAACACGGCGTATTAACAATCATCGTCTCCCCAGAAATCCCGATATCAAAGGAAACACACAACCCTAACAAAGCTCCCAATCATCACCCCTCAGGCCTCCTCTCTGCACCCACGTCACAAATTCCTCATCCGACTCCGCCCACTCCGTCCCAAACCCTCCCAACAAATCCCCAAACGTAAACTCCATCCCCGTCCCCACCACCCCCGCCTCCGCCACTCCACACACCACCTGTCCTCCCATCCCCGCGACCACCCCCCTCCTCAGCACCACCTGTTCCCCTCCCACCCCTTGTGTCGTCATCCTTACACGATCCGACCTTACGAGATACAGCGGCCCCTCCCCCACCGCCTCCACAGCCGTCATCACGAACCTCGTCTTCCGCTCCCTGGACGGCACAACCTCCCGCCCCGCCCTTGGAAGATACCAGTACACCTCCGGCTGCCTAATATTCCTCACATAGTACGCGTGCCCACTGATCCACTCCCTGCCCGCCAGCGGCGCTGCAAGCGGCCATGCTATCCTGATGTCTCCGTTCTGCAGCCACGACATGATGATGGGCTCCTTCGTCTCGAACGGTAGTGATTCGTCCTTCAGGACAGAGTGCAGCCCCATCTCGCCGCCGACGTTGTAGGTCCACATCTGTGGGGAGATGCGCGCGAGGCCGAGGCGCTTCTGGTTCGCGCGGAAGAAGTCCTCAGCGTGGTAGCGCGAGGCGCAGGTTAGGAGGTAGCGGCCGCAGTTGAGGTTGGGGAGCTCGGCGGGGCGGGCGAGGCGCACATAGACGTAGTAGAGGGATTTAGGGAAGTTGTCGGTGGAGGCCATGTTGGTGGTGGTGGTGGTGGTGGTCATGGTGGTATCCTGGGGGTGCGGGGGGGTGCTATATAGGAATACTGCACGGTAACAATATCAGAACTAACGTGGCATCTCCGCAGACCATCTGCACCTCCCTCAAAACCAGCTGAAAGATAGCCGAAGAACCAGTGATCACAAACCGGGCTGCATTTCCCCTGCATCCCTGTTTTGGGAGACTTGGCGGGCGGGGATAATGCTAGCGGGGACCGAAGAGGAATGGTCGTTGTAAACCAGCCCGATCAGGTTTGTAATGGTGCAGATCTAGGGCTGATTCTTGCAGTAGTGTCTGTGCTGCTGCAGGACTAGGCAGGGTTGAAATAAGCGCTGGCTGCTGCCTGCTATACCCGCATTAGCCGATTTATAGTAAAGGCGCTATTTGGATTCAGATCAGGTAATGATAGGTTATTCTGCTAAGCCAGTGATGGCTAGAACATACCGTCACGAATATTATTCGATCACTCTTCTGCACGGCCTTATTCTCAGCTCATCTGAACGAGTAGAGTTAGGTTTCTGAATCCAGCTGCTGAGTCAGGATCGAAGTCGGGGTTGGGAGGTCTCATGCATGACGACCATACGCTAATGCATTAAAAAGATCTTGCAGTGTCTCATAAGGTTAAGCGCCACGTAGATACATAGGTACATGTCATGAGCAGAGCTAAGCAGAGTTAGAGAAAAGTATTCTAAAATGCGATGAAGAGGAGCATTCGATACATACCCGAAAGCATTTTTACTGCCATCAGTAGGTTTCGACCACATATATATATAGCGAGCCGAACTACTGACTTACTCTAGTACTGGGGAGGAGGTAAGAACCTGAACATGAAATATGCAGGCAGAGATTTAACTTGCAGTTTAAACTATGCGCAAATCAGAAACTGTTACCGCCAACACTCATGTTCAGGTTCTTCATACCTGCCGAGTATTACAACAGATTGTGATGCAGTAGCACCGAAGACAGATTAGCCTCTTTTATCCGCTGTCAAGCCCATATTCCCACTTTTATTCCTGTAACCGGGAGTCTTCTGAGGCACCTACGTTTAAAAGCTGGTGATCGAGGGCCGGGCATCGATGTGAGACCAGGGAGATTGATTGCTCTCTGGCTCGGATATCGTCGATGAGAGTGATAGTCTCTCAAAACACATATGCTTAACTGGTTACCACCGTGTATTGTAATGCGCCCTAACACCTATGCGATAACCTGTTTCGCCACGTGGGAGCAAGCGTGAGAACACATACCGCTGTATTTGAGAAAATTCGTTGCGCTGCAACAGGGGTGTAGGCCAACCAGAGGTAGTATTTGGACGTCAATATGCAAGATTTGGTAGAGAAGACCCCTGCTGCAGCGCAACGAATTTTCTCAAATACTGCGGGATACTCTACATTTAGGTACAGTAACTTTAAAAGTGGAACTTTAAATACCTCGCAGACGTCAGGGTCTGAAAGTATCTCTTGCCTCAATTCATCAAGTAGTAAAAAAGGTTTATGTACTTAATGAGTCTTGCGCTGGCAAAGGAAAGGATCTCTTGTCTTAGTTACCTATGCTTATAGAAGACATCGGTAACGTGGTAAACCAAGGCTTTGATCACTGTAGTAGACGATACGAGCTGGCTGGAGCTTGTACCGCCGCTCAAATGTTCGACCATTTCTGAACGTTCCACGAGATGGTAGTAGAAATACCGACAAGACAATCTTGGGCCAACAACCCTAACCCTAACCCTAACCCTATATACGGGAATATGTACCGGGGGTTAAGGGTAAGTACTGAGAACCCCCTTTTGGACTGTGAGGACTAGCGGGTATCTGCTATTGGTCGATTCAAATAAAAATGACACTTGACGGCCAAGAGAGTATTTGAATTGTATGTTGCAGCTTTTGCAACGCAACCTCCATCCCCTCTTTTCCACTGATACTCTTTTCGAACTCCACAAAAAACATGTTTGAAAGTTTAGGATTGCTATTAGGGTGATTGCCAGAGCAAGAGCCATCATTTGATTATTTCTTTGTATTTTTAGCAAAATATTTAGATTTTTTTGAGTGAGGATATATGAACTTGAAGTGTCTTCGTACTTTTTTCCCCCATACAAATTTCAAGGCCAAGACCAAAGTTCATTGGCTACTTTTTGGTTCCCATTGGCAGTTCCGAGTTTTATTCAAAATCCAAAGCGTCTTGGTATTTAACGTGCACGCTCGGTACAGCAAACGCTTTAGTGATGGGCACTTGGAGAAATAATTTTGGGACTTTATATAGAGACTTTATCTTGGTATCCAACAAAAATTAGGAAGACAGCGGGAATTTGATTTTAAAATACGCTGCCCCAATGGGAAACTCTGGCTATGAGTACTCCACAGCATAGTATTTTTTTTTGTAGAGTAGCGGTATATAATCCACTGGAGAAGGGTGGTTTGTATTGAAAAATACGGAAATTAAAGCTTTTAGTAGAATTTTCATCTATCGGGATCTAGGGATGTATTTTAAGCCTATCCTGCAGTGCGAGTATTTAAGCTCTACTGATAATTAAGCTCCGTCTATTTGATTTAGATACTTTGAACTAAGTGTGTTCCAAACATGGGTAGCAATGTCATATACGCATTAGACAACAAATACAGATAGAGTACACCAGTAAAAATTGGGGTGAGATTATTATGCAAGCTTTGAGGCATTCAGATGAATACTGCATTTACATTTAATTTTAAAAATGCCGGATATCCATCGCACTATTTATTGTACTGCCTAAATTCTATACTATAAGATTGGCCATGGATGCATATATGTGTATACTAGGGTGTAGTGAAAAGTGATCCGAATGTGATAAGACAAATACAGTCGTTTCTGAGTCGACAACAAAACCGGCTCGATTACGAATGATCACTTTTTTTGGTTAACAATCAGTCAAAGCAAAAGGGTAGGAGCGCTTCTGTTGGCTTTTGTTGGCTTCGATTGGCTTATTCGCCATCGGACCGGTTTCGTCCTTGATCTAGAGACGACTGTACACCTATTCACCGTAACATTCACTTATCAGATTCTGATCACTTACCCTCAACACTGGTACATAAGTATATACATACTCGTTTTGATTATCGGGATTATTCATTGGATTATCACACTAGAGGTTCAGAACGCGGTGTTCCGAATTAATCCGCATGATCCATTCATGGATTAGGAATACAAGGGGAGTATTTTTTTTATTTTTTTATTTAGTTCAATATGCTTCTGCCTAACACTGGCCTTATGATTAATTGATTAGGCGATGAAGATATAATTTACGGTGATATGGACGGCAATGGCTGCGATTCCTCTTGTCTTTGTCAACTCCCTACTCAACTCCGACAAGAGTTCATGAAGTATGGAGTCACTCCTCACTACAGACTTTGCTTTGGCTTCATTTGCCAATGCAAGTTAAAATCTCCTCCTTTTGGATATCGAGTCTGAAGGTCACCTCTCAAAGACCACCAGCATCTCACTGCTCCCAAAGCCCTACTTTCAATAACTTGAAGGATGACCACCACTCAAAGTCCCCTATGTGGGCAACTGGCATTATGCCACCATTAGTTTTTCCTTATTTTGTATTTCTTTTGTGTTATCCGGAAAGTTTTTTTTCATTTTTTCTTAGGTGGGGGTTTCCTTAGTCATCAACCTTGTAAGAGGAGTATGGTTGGTAGTGTACCATAGCTACTATAACTGGGGGAACTGGCATTGGGGATAGGTCTTTATGCCATAGGCTATGCCTGCATGCAGTAATTGTACCTAGAATCAATTTATATGATTTTAAAAAAAAAAAAAAAGGATGGCAATGGCTGCCTGTGTCAGGTCAGATCATCTCAAGCTGCTACACTAGCCGAGTTCAAACCCCTACAATCAAATCCCGAATTCCCTTACTACAGAAAACATGGCAGGTGGGACCTCCGACCGGTACTATCAGAGCCCCCGATAAAATCATTTTCAATTTTCTCGACTTGAATGGGATTTTCCAGCCTCTTCCCGTTCGGTAGGGGTGTAAACACTTCTTTATTGCGCAGACCAAGGGCATGGGCGCCATCTTTGTAATCTGTTCCGTCCCACCACCCCCCTTTCCCACGCCCCATCTCTATTCCACGAATCTCGCGACCACGAACAAACCCAGACAGTGCAGCCCACTCAAGCTACGAACAAAGATATATAGCAAACAGTGCGACGACGCGGTTAAAAGTCTTCACCGTTCGTTCACTCATTGACCAACAGGCCCGGTGCTGCTTCCAGGTACATACGGCCTCGGTTAGTGCGCATCTTTACGCGACACCACACTGACATCTGCTAAAACCGAGCCCTACCCGCACGCCTCCCATCAAACCGTGCACGCTAAACCTTAACTTTAACCTCACCTCACGCGCTAGTGCTAGCACCAGGGGTGGCTAATCTGGTGTAGCTTTGTATCGTGGTGATCGGCACAGGGGTTGATACCGCCTCACTAGGCAAGAGCTAGCTACAGTATGTAGGGACGTCGAGTACGTTGAGATTCTGAAGGCCGCATACATTCACACCCAAACCGGGAAATTTTTTTTTCTGCTGTTTCCTCAATTCGTTCTTGAAGGTACGCCGAGTGCTATAGCCCAAAAATGAAAGAAAAAAAGAAAGAAAAAAGAGGTAACGTTGAAGATGAGGAATACGGTAATGTAAAGACTGCTTACAGATATATAGGAAGTGAAAATATCTGGTACTACTAGTGGGGGTTAGAATTCGAGCACAATACCGCGTCCATGTCAACCGAAAACATGCCCCCGCTACCGTACCGCCCTGGTACTGGTCTACCTATCTTTTCTATGATCAGCTTAAATCATAACTCTATTATCTCATTACTATATTTATAAAATAACAACCTTGTCTAGGGGTAATGATATCTGATTCGCACCTCCCCAGTAACCACCGCAAATAACCGTTTCAACATGTAGTTCAGCTCTATGTGCATATACTCACCAGCGCCTCTCTCCCAGAAGGTACCTATTACCTTCCTGCACTCCCCGCGGTATGCACCCCGCACCCCGCACCCCCACAGCAGCGGTCGAGTAACATCACAACCAAAATGAAATATCCCCTCAAACAACTCTTCGACGCGTACCATCACATTGATACAATGTCCAATGCCCAACCCGCTCCCAAGGGCTCCTACCCCCCCCCCCCCCCCACACACTGGGTGTTACATAAAACGCACCTCCACGCGGTTCAGCTCTGCCCCAACCCCCAAGCCTCTCTTTGCTCCTTTTCATTCATGCACCCAGAGTCCTGCCTTCCTATCGCATCCCAAATCCTCACCCACCAAACCACCGCCTGCGCAGGATGCGTCAATTAGTTGCAAGCTAACGTCCATCCTCCCAAGGCGCAGCCCTCAACGAAAAGTGCAACTTCGGTGCAAGGCCTGTTTACGGAGACGAGCCCAGTCACCAAGCCATGCCGCAACCCATCCGCGCGGTTGTAGTGGTAGGTTTGTGGTTGTGCTTTCATGATCGGACAGGATCTAGAGGCACTAGTATATATCGGCAATATACACTTTTTGCTATACGTTCGCCCGGTGCCTGCCTGCCGAGCCGAAACCAGAGAGCAAGGCAGTGAGATATCCATTCAGCGCATGATCCCAACCACGAGAGACGACTCCGCCGAGTCTATGCTTGGAAGCTACCTCCCTATATATAGGCTAACGGGTCTTCTAATTTCTTTTTTGCCAACCCTAATTTGCTCTGTACGTGGGCTGGCTATGCGCACAACGCCAACGGTATCAACGGAATCCGGGTCCCCTTCTAGAAGCATGTCTCGTGCGTGTGCGCAGAGAATTGCTCCCGTCAGCATTAACACATTAGTCCCGGAGTTCTCGCCGGGGGTGCCAGAATGATTGGTTGATGCCTCTATTGCTGGCTGGGGGCGTTTAACCTTTTTGGAGCCGATGCTGTTTTTAACCACGATTGAGGGAATAGCAAAGGAGTAGGTGAAAGCATGGAAGGGGTGAGATCGTGACATGTCCTTATTTTGGTTTGTATAAGTAGGGGGAATAACTACTGTCTTTCAAATGACGAGTCCACTATCAGTACTCTCAAATCTCAACTTGAAAGCCTGACGCCAGAGGAAAGATTGAGTAGAATTGGTTCTTCACAACTGGTATTAGTTCATCACTGTCACTAAAGGTTAGCATTCTCACTCTTAGTGCTCTCTTGAGCTCCGATCCCGATTGCCCATCCAACACCTTTTTGTATCGTACTCCTACCATGTCAAGATTTAAAACGCCTTTCTAACAGGAATCAAAGCTCTACCAACCCCTAGGACCTCCGGCATCCCTACATTTTGAGCACACTCCAAACTCAATCCTCACCAACATCCTCCGCCGCTATGCTACCTATCCTCATCCTCCTCCTCCAATTAGGGGCATGCGTCCTCGGTGCCACAATTTCCGCGAGGTCCACCTCCGAAAAACAAGAGCATGTGGGATGGCAGCGGGAGCCAGATACTCGTGGAACATTAAGCATCCTCCGCACCTGCGGCATCACACTCGCCCTATGCGTCTGGACAGCCATCCATCCCGACATAATTGTGGACGGTACCATCTACAAACGTCTTCTAAAGAAGCTCCAAATGTCATTCTATGCGCTTGTGACGCCCGAGGAGGTCTTGAAGTCAGCCTTGAAACAGTGGGGCGATGCACGACGGCTTCACCGCGCACTTGTCGCTGTGACCATCATCACCGAGAAGATGCAAGAAAGGCCCAATGCCAAGAAAACCGCGCAAGAGGAGATCAATAAAAGCTCAATCTCGATGAAGGTAGCCTACTTTGTCGTTACCGGCGGCTTCGTAAGAACCGACGGCTGCAAGAAGTCCATCAGCTGCTCGGAGTTCTTCCACGCCTTTGTCGAACGCCCTTCCGAAGTATCGCGCATGGTCAAGGAGGCGGATATCGTCGATAAGGGGAAGGCAAACCTACTCGCAAAGCTCATCGTTTGTGCCCAGGGAAGCTGGTTCGTGCTCCATCTTCTCGGCCGGCAGCTGGCCAGGCTGCCGATAGCGCTTTTGGAGGTGCATGTAGCGATCCATATCCTCATTGCGGCGGTCATCTATTTGCTGTGGTGGAATAAGCAGTTGGATGTGAACGAGCCGATCATACTTCCCCTGGGCCTCTTGGGATGCGGTGTACAGGAAGAGACCTGGGGGAAGGCGGTGTCGGATGCGGTGGCGCCGAGAAATGGAATTGGGAGTTGGGGGATTTGGGGGTGGCTCGACTTGATGGCGCCAGAGGAACCAAAGGAGAAAGAAGAAGACGAGAAGTGGAAGAAGGCGGTAGAGGAAATAGAAATCTGTAAGCGGAATGGAATATCTTCCTCCACAGGTGCGGGAGTAAGACCCCGGGAAGTCAGCGCAATGGAGCACCAGAGACCCGGCGATAGTCAGGGAAATCAAGAGGAAACAAGCCCCTACCTACAGCCCGACCCAAACGGGGACGACGCCCAGGGCATGAGGTTCAGCGGGGTCACACTTGTTCACTCCGGCGGGGAAATCCCACCTCTCTCCTCCCCTGCAGTAAGGTCTATACGCCACGACAAACCACAAATCATACCCAGCCCCAATGGCACAACAACTACAACGGAACGCTTTCTCGCCTGCATCTTCTACATCGCCTACGCCGGGCTCCACGCCACCGCGTGGAACTCCGACTTCCCCTCCCCCGCTGAGGGGTGGGTCTGGCGCGGGTCTTGCCTCGCTGTCGGGACCGTTCCAGTGGTGCTGTTCCTTGGGTCCTTGTCGAGAGGGCTCGAGAGGCGGTTGAAGATTACTCCGGGAAGGTCGGGAGGGAGAGAGTTGTTCGGGTGGATGTTGTGGGCTATGAGTATCGTGGCGGCCGGTGCGTTGTTGATATTGTCGTTTATGAGCTTGAGACATAGCGACAAGATGGTGTTTCAAACGGCCAAGTGGGCGGCAGACATTCCACACTTTTAGGGCCCTGGTTGGGTGCGTACATTTGTTTGATTGCTTTCATGGGTCTCTGGGCAGTTCGGAGCTACGGTCTTTATGATCGTTGGGATGGCTTGGTACAGATAGATGTCTCAGGAATGGCTAGTGAGTGTTAACACAGGAAGACTTACAAGAGCTTTACCCCCGCGGTTGCTGAATTCCGCGCGGGAGTTATTGTAGGACAGAACTTGGGGTGGGGGTATTTGATAACAAAACACAGGTTTTCTTCAGCTGGGCACTGGAGATTTTGTAACGACGGAATTTAGAGGGAGTTGAATTATGATGAATCTTTCTGAATTGTTAAGGTGTTTTGTTGTAGATTAGACGCGTCAAGGACGGCTAGTTAATGATAGTATTTAATAATAATCAATATTCTGCTGCAAGAAACAGTCGACCAAGTTAGGAGATTAGTATCTGAAACTCTCATCATTAGCGTTCCTTTCATCCCAATCACAGATATATCAATGCCCTAGTTAAAATTTACTCTACCCCTACACAGTGGAAGGGTAACTTTTCTGGGTCATATTCCGGTAAATAACCTCAAAAATGAAAAATGGTACGACTTCACCTTAGAAGTTCTGCTCATTACTGCACTCCGGAATCGGATACATTAAGCTCCGTAGACCAAAAGAATTATGCCGTAAGGATTGTCTACCCAAAACACCAAAACAACACCCGAAAAAGCAGACCACCAAGCTAGCAAGCACAGCACAAAGCTCTGACAAACTCCTGCCCCTGTGTGGTGGAAAAGAAAGGATATTTCCAGCCAAGCCTCATCTCTAGGGGGAGTGGAAATGTGTACCTAGAATATTCAGTAAAGTCGTCGGTAAAGTCGTTTTTCGAGCTTGGATTTGGGTGGGTAATGTCAATATTTTGGCAGAGGGAAAGTCGTTTTAAGGGAAATCGGACGATTATACAGACGATTTTACAGACGACTTTACTGATGCCTTTACATGTCACGCTCCTGTCACCCGTTTTTGAGCGTATACACATGGGGGTTGAGTTTTGGCCACCGGTGATGCTTCACATGATTGACCAAGGCCACCACCGATGAAATGAATCATCATAGAGTATCCTACTATTATACCAGGTGCATCAAGCCAGAATTGCCTACATGTATATGCCAAACAATAGATACATCAAAATGAAATTTTATTTCCCAACTGTTACAAGCCTATTGATGCCAGATACCATTCGATAACCCACCGAAATATTTTGTTTGAGTACTCAACTATCTCAAGATCTAGAGGAGAGGCTTCATTGGAAAACATTGATTTTCGGGCGGAAAACAGGAAACCCCGGAAACAGTCATTTTATTGCCTTTAACATGCCTTTAACATGCATGTAACGGTGAATGTCGTCAGTAAAGTCGTATCTTGCCTTTAACAGGTAAATTCATCAGTAAAGGTGTCGGTAAAGTGTCGGTAATGGGACAGGAATGCCTTTAACACAAAGTAATGCGGTTATTGCATCAAATAATGTGTATCTCGCAAGTTCTTGTATGAGAAACGTTAAAATTGATGCATTTCCACTCCTACTAGAGCATTTGATCCTTATTTGTTAACAGTTCACAAGATGGAGATACGAGAGAAGTGGACAAGATGAAAGCGCGGAAGAAGGGAGGAGAGAACTAGGGTACGGATGGGGAACGCTGAAAGGCGCTGAAAATGAGGAATAGGACAAAAGAGGATTTACTAGCGTTTTCTATTTCCTATGTTAGGTACACGCGAGAGGAGGTGGAAGAGAACGGGTAGTTCAGGGGTTATTGCCATAACGGTAAGGTTGCATGCAATTAATGAATTAAACAAAAAAAAAAAAGATCCTTGTTTGTTTGGTTGTCAGCGTCTGTTTTGTGATTATTGATTAGTTCATGAGATTTCTGTTCCTTCCGCTATTTTTCCCGGACAAAGCAGGAGGAGGAGAGAGAAAACCTCATAAAGTAAGTTTAATCATTTAATTTATAGTACCCCGAAATAAACATGTGTGCCTGCCTCCTCCTTACCACTACGTCGTTTTTGTATGTTGTAACGTGTTTCAACACATGTTCGGCCAATATCCCTACAGCATCCCCGCTGTGGCCAGGTGCGAATGGACAGACCGCAATCGACTACAAGTTATCTGGCTTAACCTGGTAGAGCAGATTTTCATCAACTAGGTGTCCTCAGACGGTGAGAGTATGGCGTGCTGAGGTCGTGTGTAAGCAAAGGTTTACTAGAGAGACACCAGCGATAGAACGACTTTTTGAAATTTGCGACCCAACCACAAAGATATAAGACAGGAAAATAGCATATTCGGGATCAGCAGCCCCAGGACCACCTTTCTATCCCCAAATATTTCATAACTTTCGACCTTTGCAAAAATTCACTACTCGCGACCCCGTTTTCAACCAGTGTTTGTGGGGCCGCCACCATCAGGTAATTGCATCAAATTAGCAGCAAATCGACGCCCAAAACGACACCAAAACGTCGACTAGTTGCACCATGTCGACACCTAAATCAGCATCAAATCTACGCTCAAATCTACGCTCAAATCTACTGTCAAATCGACTACTGACGATGCACAATATCAACGTCAATTAAGCTCCTAATAGGTAGGTAGGTAGGTAAGCAGGCAGGTGCAGAGGGAGGTAGGTAGGCAGGCAGGTGCGGGGGTAGGCAGGCAGGCAGGTAGGCGGCGCAGAGGTAGGTAGGGCGCTAGCAAACATGTACATAGAGAATTAGACAGATAGACGAATATATGTGACAGTCGCGCGGAAACCATGTCCTAGTCGATGTACCTTTTGCCGAGTGATCTCATTCTGCTAGCAAAAGCTGCTAGTGAAAGCCGTTAACCGGACCAAAGATACTAGTGTGGAGACGGCGTTAGACACCAGGAGGCGACTTTGCGTCTAGTCCTGTCGCGACAACGTTGGTTGCCAAAGAGACGAAGGGCTCTCGTAGCGGGGCGCCCAGGCGTCGGTCTACAGGTAAGCAAAGGTCTTGGGGCATCTGGGGCATCTGGGGTATCTGGGGCGCCCAGGTGCCCCAAGACGAGACCCCGTTTTTTGCTGATGAGGGAGAAGCACACACTTCGCGAACATCTCCAGAACTATAACCACAATCCAAAACTGCCTGGTAATGGGAGACTTCAACTGCCACCACCAGCTGTGGTATGGACACAAATCCCACGACTACACCAACACCCTCAGAGCGGGCAGGGCCAATCCAAGCAAAGTCAAACGATGGATTGATCGACAAAGGTTGTGTTGCCGGAGGGACGACAATATCCCATATGTTCCGCTAAGGGTCTCTTTAGCGATATACATGTACATAGTAAGCGCGCAGCAGATATCGATCTGCCAAAACGAACACACACCCCATCCCCGCTAGCGGCGGCGGAGAAGATGAGATTTATTTAAGCTTATCCTCACACGCTAACGCCGACAGGGATGCAGGCCCTGTCGATCACGTCGCCAACCCCGCGTTTGCAGAGCCTCACGGGAGTAGCCGTGCCAAGCCGAAGGTGTGATGAGGCTCTGTTCTCCGCTTCTGCGATCGCTTTCTCTGTCGCGCAGTCACCCCCAGATCCGTCATCAATCCGTTCACCCTCGACCAACCCCAGTGGCTATCGCAGTCGTGCGCACTATCAGCTCTGGCTAGCGCTTTGTTCGTCCCCGGCTGGGTGGGGCGCGTGGGGTACAACTGATCACTGACTGCCGCGTCCAGCTTCTACTAGCGTCGACTAGGGCTCCCTCCTCCCTCTCCTCCTCGTCCTATCCTCGCGGTCCAGTAGTCCAGCTAGTCCACCCGTCACCGCTTCACTCTTCTTCGCTGGTTCCGACGCCTCTTTCGTTGCTGCTCGTCACCCCTGGTCGTGACCCCGCGCTACAGCTGTGGTACGTGGACACGCTTGTTTGGTACGGCGCTGCTGGCGGTATCGCTTAGTTAGTTACCGCGCGTCGCGGTCGATGGTCGGTACGCTAACGTTTAGCGGGGCTATAGCGCTGCCAGGGAAGTAGAGTCTGTTCAAACCTGCTGGGAGGTGGCTTTCGCCTGACAAGGGGCAGGGTCGGGATCTCTTTGCGCAGGATGCGACGGGATCTGGAAGGCTGCTATTTAGCGTCCGGTCCGGTAACAGTAGTTCGAGTATTCGGCGGGGGCAACTCGGCTTAACGGACATGCATTGCGGGGGTGATTTGGTAGACCTCATGAACGCCGCTGCGAAGAAGCAGTAGGTGGATGCTAAATTTCCAGCCGACAGGGGTCTTCCCTAGGGTACAATTTCGAAATGGTAAACTTCCATTGATACGCGCTGACCTATGTTACCCGCATTTGGGGATGAAATTAGCAAACAATAGTAGATCTAATTGGATGGGCTAGCTGATCAAGATGGTATATCATCCTAATATTATGACATAAATATAACTAGTTCGGCTCCCAGCCGACCACCTCGAACCCTAAACTTTCTCCAAAGATCCCATACCCGGCCCTCTGCTACATGCCATCCCCGGCTATAGCTAGTATCACCCTAGATCTGCAGCCTGAATAGTGTCCGACCCGACATTGTTTCCGAACACGACCAATATTGCATGACATACAAAAAGGTGGATTTGGCGCTTTTTCGTATGTCATGCAATATTGGTCGTGTTCGGAAACGCTATAAAGCTACGAGTAGGCTGGTTGTGCCTGTATATAGGCAGTCCATCCTAATGACCGCGACGTTCCGAGCTCCAACCTACCATCTAGTAAGACGTTTTAAGGTATCCTTATTAAGACTGGACACCCGTATAGGCGAGATGCGCGGTTCCGAAAAAAATTATTTTGTCGGTAGGTGATTAACCCTTACCCTCGACCTTAACCCTGACTTGGCATTGTAATGCTTGAAGTCGCCGTGATGTGGAGCTAGCGCCGGAGAAGACAATTGGAGGGTTTTTAGGGATGGGGGCTTATCTCATGTTTTCAAAGGTAATAAAATACTGTTATAATGTATTCAGCTCGCATCATCACAAGTTGCTTGATATCCTCCGAAGCTTTCTGCCGCTCATTGAGTTACACCTGCTGTAAGGGAAATATAATTTAGTAGTAGTCTTTCTCTTTCTCAGTTGGGCTGGAAGAATCAAAGAAATCAATACGGTCTTGTTTTATTCATTCTACGCTATATTCTGTTAATATAATGTATAAACGGAGGAGGATATTATCATGTAAGATATAATTAGGAAAATGTGTAGACATCTTTTACCTGTAAGTCTTTGTGTATCGCATATAGAGAAACCAGCTAATACATGGGAGCGAGTTTCCCCATGTCTCGGATACACAGCCTGGTTTGATGGTTGGGGAAGATCCGATATAATTATAATTCGACAATATGTGAGGTCAATGGGCACGAATCAGAAACCGATTCTAATTAAATAACGCTGGTAGCACCCAGCGAAGACGGTGCGACGTTATCGGAGCGTCTCTGTCTAGGTCACGATGTTGGGGAGCCATGGTCTCAGTACGCTCGGCGCGGCGGGGAGAGTCATCTAAATCCCTCCAGTTGCCTAAGGTTGCAAGCGATGGCTATATCTCTGCACCAAGCGCAGAGGAAGTTTCAGAACCTACTCCGCAATCACTATACCCAAGCAGACTTGTGGTACGGCCTCCCAATGAAACAGTGATGGACTCGGGTTTAATAGATTTGGACTTGGGTCGAGTAGCGGTGCGGTTCAGATTTTGCTCCACGTTCTGCCAGAACCTATCGGTATTAGATGATCCAAGATATTGAGTACGTACGACTTGTGGCTCTGGTAAATGCTGGCTCTCAAATTGAGATCAAGAGGGATCGGAAGTTTTTTTTTCGTCGCCTGGGTCGAATATATTATCCTTCCGTGTATGTGACATTCCACCCTAAAGACCCCATCGACAGTCTTGGCATATTTCTTATAAATTTCACGATGAATAGACGTGTCCATATATATACATGCCAACACCAAGGTAATGAGGCTGTCAGGGAACAGAATTGTGTCCTTCTCTTGAAGACACGTATTTTTAGTCATTGTATATTAGTAACCTTTGTCATCCTTGATGATGGGGGACATACGAAATTAATCATAATACCTTTATACACTGTTTATCGGATTAGATAGCTTGACTTGGTGTTGTTGGGAGCCAAGTCAAACTCTCGTCTCTAGTTGACGCTGCCAAACATTAACCATCTGTAGCTGGGTCTTGGCGGGTTCTGGTTGAGTCTCACATTTCTTGGCAGTCATGCAAGGACCTCCGCAAGCTTCGAAGCCTTTAGAAGCAAGTGACGCTTGGGGCCAAAACGGCTAAAAGATAGAGAGAGAAGAAAACATTACTATGGTTGGCCGACGAAAGGTGATCCAGCCCTAATTCTTGATTCGTTGATGGTTTATGTATTCTAGAGGGATCGGAGGCGTAGCTTTGCTTGTATTACAATTGTAGCTACTCTCTCTTTGTAGCTGAACAAAGTGCTAGTGCTAATGCCTCTTAATTTCTCAGCCTCATGCTCAGCTGCCGGTGCACATACATGTCCTTTCTACTCTCTACACGTTTCCTAGATCGATCAATAATGATGGTGATGATGATAATGATCCATCTCTGTACCTTTGCACCCGCCAAAAGGATGGTTGGAAATCTGGGTGGGGCAAGAATAACAAACTTCAATATGACATGTTCAAAATTGAGATATTTTGGTAGATCTAGCACCAATTCGTCCCACTTTACTCACATCAAGATCTTTAGCCCTTCAACTCGTCTCATTTCATAGCTCGAAATTGTGACCCTTCTTTGGCCACCAGGATCTCTCCGCTTTACTTCGAGCGTTACCTCTGGTTTGATCAAACTACCGTTGATGCCACTCACATTCTGAAACCAAGACTCTCAGGGTTAGGGTTTCAACAATTAGCCAAAATGCCTAAACGGATTTTCTTTTGGTTTAATTCATTAATTGCATGCAACCTTACAGTCATGGCAATTCTAAACGCCTTTGGCTCCCACAGATAGAAATCTAATATCAATGTTATAGTCTGTCTTGTAATGCTGGTGCATTTGATCACTACGAGAGGAAGAATCTCTAAAGGAGGAACAATATTAATGCTTAGGTGAAGCAAATACATGAACACCTCGCTACCGATAACTTAATCATCTAAATCGGTAAGACTTAGAATATACCATTCCATTCGTGACGACAGTGGTTAAGTTCCTAGTGTTGTATTAGCAAGTGAGAAAGGGTGGTTGACAAGGTCCGCGAGGAATTTAGGAAAGATAATATTCTATTAGTTAGTGCAGTCGAATCAATTATTGAAGCGTAAGAGAGCTCCAGGTAAGAGAGCTCCAGGTTGAGATCTCAAGGTCTGCAAAGGACTTACATAAGTTGACCAGGATGAACCGTGCGTTATCATCAATTGGCTTTTATTCACACTTTAGGCTTTGGCCATGAATCACATATTCCACATAGTGCTGAATATGACTGTAATGTATTGAATTCACTAAAGCCACGTTATTTAATATCTTATCAGGTCATGTAACGTCTTTCGCGGATTGATGGCGCTAAGGCATGGGAGCGTCCACAGCTAGAGGCCCAATATTGTGCTTATAAATTGAGATTCGTAAGGGGAAATACTTACCTCAACGGATCTACAGAAGCCGCAGATAGATGCAATTCAACAAGTGTGTATGTAAGAAGTAATCGTAGTAGGTAACAAGCGCCCGACGATGCACGCCCTCATCTACAATTTTCATTAGAATAGAAATCAAAAATATACCAAAACCTTGAAGCTGTATTTTGGGTACTTGGGTCGCGAGTATACACGGGGGAAATAAGCGTATATATATACCCATTGCATTCCTTGCAAAGTCTGACGTAGAGACCAACTCTTATATCGTTAGTTGGTATGTTCGTATTGAATTATTGTATCTCGGTTTCTACTCTATAATAGGCCCTTACTGAACCACAACTGTAATGAACTTCTCTTGTAAGGTCTAATTATCTACTCTCTATTGGCCTGAGATAGCCACCCATTACCACTAGGTTTAAATTTTATGCGTAGATATACCATAGACCAAGAAGGAGAATACGTGTCTAGTCTCCTCTCTTTACCGAGCCTTGAAATATTTAATGGAATAGCACCGAGCGCAACAAATGAGGAAAACCTGGTTACGCAGGACCAGGATCTAAATGGTGGCAAAGGGATAGTTCTTCGCCTATCTACGCACCTCTGGCATTAAGTGAGTGAACGGATCCTCACCTTTCAACACCCCATGTAGTTCGCTCACTTAATGCCAGAGCCTTGTACAATGGGATGCGATTTTGTGCACGAGGCAGGAAATATGGACTCGCCTAAACTATCCTCGGTGGTGGGGTGAGCGATAAGAGAACATCAGCAGACCGTACTCTACCTACAATCGCGAAGGGGAAATCGATGGAGAAGAGGCCGAAATGTCTATTCAGCCTGCATGTGTCTGGAGAAAACTACACTTTCTAGTGCAGTTAATGATATGTACCATTCAGAGTTGTTCGCCAATTCGGCCCTCCACCTATAGAGTCCGAGTCGTGGAAACCTTTGGTTTAACTCGCTACAGGTTTAAGGCGGGTGCCTAAAAGACTCTCATCGATCCCGATCAACCTTGCATATGCCGAAACCCTCGGATGACGCCTAAATAAAAATCTCAGATTGGTCTGCTCTCGGTTACAGGGAAGAATATAATTCTTGCACTACCTATCATAGCATACCGAGCGATGCTATCTTTTATCGACCAGCCCCAATTGTAGAGGCACTAAATGTCTTAGACAATGGCCTTATAGCTACCCCTCACTGTGGCCCATGGACCCTTGAACAAATGAAACCCGCCTACCTAGTCGATGCCCTGCCCAACACCTCTCGATTTTCTAGTAAAGAGGAAAGCTCTGAACTCGGGGTTTCGTTAACAAATTGAAATCATTTATGTAACCGAGCCTCAATTGGTGCGGCGCGGTCTGAGTGGGTGTTTTGCCTTAGTCTCTTAGTAAGTCTGCATCCAACTATATCCAGTTTGGTTGGTCCATGCCGCAGGAACCTCTACGAGCATGTAGATCGGAGCATCAATAGCTGATCTCGGGGTCATGCAACAATAAATACTTTACTCACACATGAGAACTAATATGACCTGTATTGCGCACTGCGCATATTGTATTGTATATTACATTAGCATCTACTCATCTATGCCACGTAAAAGCTTACTTAGCAGAGATGGAGCATAGAGGCGAGATGATAGGCTTTAAATATCGCAGTTGGCTTCACATAATCGACTTGCGACTTTGTGTAGGGCAGAAGAAGAGCATGGTTAGAGTAAACATGCATTAGATTCGGCGATATGAATTTAGTGGCTACTACTCTATCTTCCGTACGTCAGGAGTACCCCGTCTTTGTGGGGATTGGATAAACACATAAGTGGGTGAAAATCAGAAGCACATACGGTACCGCCCCCACCGGCTTACAGCCTCGCAGTAATTCTTTATGATATTTGACGATTCCTCATAGAACGTTGACATTGGATCGTTCGCAGATACAGTTTAACTGGACGTACAACAGCGAGATAGCCCCTTTGGGAATATGCCTAGATATTAGCAGGAGGTTGCCAGTGTTAAAACTTAAACTCAATGTGCTCGGTTCTAAGACAAGAGATATCCGAAGCTACCATCATGCTACGAACATTGCTTTTTTTTATCGAACATCCGTTGAGTACATATAGATTCCACCCACCCCCATCGATAGCAAAACAGCTCCTGGGTGTGACCTGAAACATAGAATCAACGCTACTGAACATTACATTGCGGGTAGTAGAGATACGCTTTTTTAAATTTAATAATTTCTAACTTGGACTAGAGCCAAACGAGGAGACCACCAGTGCAGAGGTTTTCGCCTTCCATCACCGCCTGTCGCCCGTGGGTAAAGGTATATGAGAAGTGCCTGCCTTTCTAGCCTCATATAAGCGGCATATTGACAAAGAAAGAACTAGGACCACAAACAGAGCCTGCAATCAGCGGTCATCCTACACATTCACCAATCTTCGACAAACACAAATGTATGCTTTTGTCCAAACAGTCAAGGGCGTTAATGTTAACATGATATCTAGTAAAACACAACCCCAAAGGAGGACGGGAATAAATTTGGTTTCGGACGCCATGCATGGGACCGGATTCTATGATGAAGGTATGAATATCTACCGTGATTTCATGGTTTGTGTCTAGAGCTGATCACCATCCCCAATAGCGGAGTGGAACCGGCAGTCCTTTACCGGACGTTCTACACACCACGGCCACCTGGGAATGTCGCTTTTAGTGATAATTCTTATTCTACCTCTGCACGTACATGCCCTATGTACCACTCCAGATTGTGTCCCGAGAGACGGGTGGGATAACTTTGCCAATAACCTCGGGAGCGATCTGGCACCATTCCTCGCGCTGTTCGGAGAACAGGTAACAACTCAATACATGAGCGAGTCACTCTCTTGGATCGACAATATACTACTTGCTCTTGCACCACTCGGAATTATCACAATATTGGTTTCCGCAATCAGGGTATCCGGTACAGGACCGTTGAAATCGCTTATTGGAAGGGGCAGGGAGACACGCGGTGAAGTGGAGACAGATTTGATGTCTTCCACCTCGAGCGATACGTGTGAGCTCTGGAGTGGGGATGGTGTCGTTCGTGTAATTGGGACTCCTGCTCTTCTTCAGCTTATCTGGGTTCCTAAGAAGGTGGAAGATCCGGATAAATCTCGTGGTCTCTACAACTTCCGAGATATGTATAGTAGGAACCGTCATTATACGCAAAAGCACTCAGACAATCCGCTGAGTGATTTACCTGACCATCAAGTGAACTCCGAGAAGCAAGCATCAGGGAAAGAGTGGGTGCCCAGGAGCACCAAGGAACGAACACAGAACGCGATGATAGATCGAAACCCTCCAAACGTCTCGCTTAATCTCAGTGTGAAGTCAGTATCTCGCCCGACCTTGGTATTTTTCATCATTGTGGGCTTCATCGCGCAAGGTGCAGTTTTGGCATTTGCTGCAGTCTCACAATATGTTTTACGTTTCCCAAAGAACGATTTAGATATTTCCTTCTACGCTTTTCCTGTTCTCTGCGCCGGAACCGTTTTTCTGAGCGTGGGAATCCTTCTGTGTGCTCACGTTGTTGAAAGTAGCACTGGGGAGAAAACCTGGGCTCCCAAACTGGACACAAATACGGATACGTTTGTGTTATGGCTCCAGCAAGGGGGGCAGAAAGTAGGTGACCAAGAGTTCGATGCTTTTGCTCAAACCTCCAATGAGGACATAATCTCGTCCTATCGTCAGGGTGATGGAAAGCCCCGAAGGGGACTGGTCATTGTGGCCGTTTTATTTACGCTACTAGGATTTATCGCCCAACTCGTCGGCTTGAGAGCAGCTCACTCTTCTATCACTGTGGTGCAGATTGCCGCCATCTTGCTCGTGACCGTTTTCCGCTGCTCTGCCCATTTCAAGCGCAATAAAGAGAACATAATCGAAAACCCTCAATTGGTCGAAGGCTTTGAATTGGATTGGCTTGCAAAGTATCTTGGGGGTATTTCCGACTGGAAAGTGGACACTAGCGCAATCCCTGTAGCATCTCAGCAGCCTGGAACAAGACCAGTAACAGCAGCTCCTGCAGCATCCGCACAACCTGGGTCACTTTTAGCCACGGGAGTTCCTGCAACCTCTCGACAGTCTGGGTCGCGGCCAGCAACAGGAGTTCCTCCGGTACCTGTTCTAAAACCTGGGTTACAGCCAGCAACAGTAACTCCTGTAGGATCTCAACAGCACGAATCACGACCACCAACAGCAATATTACCAGCGCGCACGGAGTTCATATCCGCATCAGACTATTCACGCGGTATTCAAAGAGATGAGGGGACTGGACCCACCTTGAAGTATACGGCGCAGAAGGCTCTCGAAGTACGTTCCCGTCTAGCGGAGCTATCTGTTGAATGGAACATTGATCTCCGGAAGAGTGTGAAGACACTGAAGACTGCGATCGAGATGACGATGAACGATGTGTATTCGAAGATGACCCTTAAGGAAGAGAGGCTCAAAAGGTCGAGGTCCTCATTTTCTTGGCAGGTACCTGTCATTGTGAAGAATAAGGGTAGCTCTCCCGCGGTCGGAGTACATAAATGGATCGAAATCAATTTGACTAGACAGACAAACGAGCTTGATGGTTGTTCTGATTGGAAGGTTGATGAGTGTATGTTGGAGGCAGTGCTTGGCCTCTGGTTATCATCCCTCATAGAAGAAAATAGAAATATGGAAGAAAATGGTGACAAGGCACTCAAGAACATTTGGCATATCGGGCCTGCTACAGATGCATTCCGGAGAGAACATAGAGTTTGGATACGCCGTACCACACCGCATAAGAGTACCAAGCGCTCGGATAACACAATGCGACATTTTGGGTGGCCAACCAGAGAGGACGATGAATCGCTTTATGTTGAGACCGATCGCACATTAGAGGTCATTTGTACACACCAACTTTATTTTATGTTTGTGCATCGCCTGGCGAAGGATGTCCAGATGGTTGGGGGGGAAACGACAAAGCGCCTTGAAGAATCTATGTTGCATGGCGAGATAGCGGCACAAGCGCGGACTACAGCTCGCCTTCCAGACTTCAAGCTGATGAATACCAACCTGGCATCAATTGCGGCTATTTTCAAGGATTATGATCTAGGCACCATCGAGGAGGCCTATTGTTGTATTATCCCTGCTTTCCAAAAAGTTCAAAAGCCGCCACCGCCGCGGAAGGACTTTGAAGATGCTCAGAGAATGTCGTTGAATAACTCTAAGGCGGGTGAATGGAGGCCTTCTTTGGACATTGATATCTATCTCAATACTGCCCTGGGATCCTTAGGTCTTTCGCAAAATGAGAGAAATGCCGTCGAGGAACAGCTATACCAGCGCCTTCGTGTTTTGAGGGAAAACTTCATATCCGATTGTGTGAGGGTGGGAAGAGACGTGGTTCTACAGGATCTGGAGCCCATGTGGAGTGGCTTGTATTTGAGATGCAAGCTAATCTCACCGAGGCGACCTCTCTCGTCTATTAGTCTCGAGCTCATGGTTCTCTGTCTTACCCGTTATCGGATTAAGGCAGGTTATGATATTCAGGAGTTGCATGAGTTACTATCAAGTACAATACGATCACTCAATTCTGATATATCGTCTGAGGAGGTTTTAGAGAAGATTAGGGATGAGGACGCAGAAACTTTCAAGGACCCCGACTTACTGAGTAGGTTTGTGTGGATTCATGCGAGGGGTGGTAGGACGGTTGGAACGGTTGGGATGCTTCAATCGCCGAGTACCTCCCCGCAGAATATCGACACTACTCAACTGCCAAAGGTTTTCGTTGACACCTTGTCTCACCTTACAGCATCTAAGGTGTTGATTGAAGCCCGTCAGAAACTATCATACATGTTCACATCACGAGCCTTTGGTAAATACGCCTCCAATCCTGATTCCATCAAATATATGGCAGAAGCGAGCGTGACGAGCAACTTTGACTCTGGGGAAACTGGCGATAAAAGCTTTCCGGTTGATCTTCTGCTCATAGAAGGATACAGAACACCACTTCAGATGGCGGCGGAGCTCAAGAATACGTGGGTTGTGAATAGGATCCTTGAATTTTGGCGAGGAAATGGGGGATTCGACGTGAAATCCGACCATCCGGCGGCGGCGGACGGAAGGACAGCCCTCCAAGCGGCCGCGGGAGGAGGTGATATCGATATTGTGAAGAGCTTATTTGAAGCTGGAGCGGCAATTGATGCCGAAGCAGCAGAGACGTCTGGACGCACGGCATTACAGGCAGCTACAGAGGGAGGGCATGAAGAGATAGTGCGATTTCTTATCGCCAACGGCGCCAACGTCAATGGAGAACCAGCCCCAACTCGAGGTATAACAGCACTTGAGGCGGCTTCTGCGCGTGGAAATATCAAAATTGTCGATTTACTTCTCGAGAACAAAGCAAATGTTAACACAATTCCTTCTACCTACGGACGAACACCATTACAGGCAGCGGCTGAGGCGGGACACAATGCAGTTATTGAATTGCTCCTGCGTCACAAAGCCAATATCAATGCTCCACCAGCTGATTGTGGAGGTCGCAGCGCGTTACAGGGTGCAGCAGAAAAAGGACATTTCGAAACCGTGAAGTTTCTTTTGAAAAATGATGCTCTTGTTGATGAACTGCCTGCCAGGGAATCTGGATGCACCGCATTCCACGCCGCAGTCTGTTCTGGGAGGGGGGATATAGTCGAAATTCTAATAAAGAGCCGTACGACTACTCCTAATCATGGTGCCAACAGTCAGATGAGAACGGCACTGTACGCAGCAGTGGAGAGAGGTCATGACGGAGTGGTGAAGATGCTTTTGGACAAGGGTGCTCCTATTTTTGCGGACCAGCCTGAGCCAGACGGCAAGACCATCTTGCAGGCAACACTACAAAGTGGTGATGAAAAGATAATTGGATTGATCTTAACAGCCTCATTTGACTTAGAGGCTGCCCTTTATTATGCTCTACGCGAAGGACACGACGATGTAACCAGTGATCTACTCACAAAAGATCAACTGGACATTAACCAAAATATTGATAGCCAAGGTGGTGTCCCAGCGTTGTTGAGGGCGGCAGCTGAGGGCCATGTCGAAGTTGTTGAGTGGCTGGTGGCGAGGGATAGTCTCAAGGTAAATATTAAGGATGATAATGGTAATACTGCTCTATCGATTGCGGCGAAGGCTGGGTTCACTTTGATTGTGGAGATATTACTCGGACGTCAATATATTCTTATCAATCATGCCAACATGCAGGGGCTGACGCCTCTCACCCTAGCCTGTTCAGAAGGCCATGTGGAGGTGGTCAAAGCATTACTAGAGAACCCAAGGATCAATCCCATGATTCTCAGCAAAACGAAGGGTAGTTGCCTTCTGGCAGCAGTGGCTTCCAATATTAGCGGGGGGGATGTGGGTGCCGGAGTCAAGGTAGAGAAGATTAACGAGATGGTGGAAATGATTTTGAGCCATAATTCCACTCGAGGCCTAGAGAACTCTGCAGATGAACACGATGTAACTCCATTGATCATGGCTGCAAGATGTGGCCTTACTACTGTTGTTGAAAAGCTCTTGACAAGAAAAGACATTGAGATAAATGCCAAAGATACACAGCAGCGAACAGCTTTCTCCACCGCCTTGGAAAACAAGAATCAAGAAATTATAATTTACCTTCTCAACGACCAACGCCTTGAATTTGACGACGAGAAGCTTGGAGAGTATATCTCGGAAACGCCTTTACTGTTATGCGAAGTGGTGCGTCTTAAAGCGGATGTTGCTGTGGGAACATTACTGAAAAGACCCGATATCGGAAATCAACTCAACGCCGCGGACACCTATGGTGATCGCCCAGTCTCGATTGCTGTGTCCTCCGGAGATGTTGAGCTTGTGCGAATGCTATTGCGATTGGAGAACGAAGGGGTTGAGACAAACTTCCAGAATTCTGAGCACAACACACCGCTCATGATCGCGGTTCGGCTGCAAAAGCTAGATATCGTAGAATTGCTCTTAGAATGTGAATCAGTCAAAGTGGACAAAACGGTATTATCTATCGAAACCTCCCCGGATATCAAGAAACTTCTCAAAGATCATTCTCGGGGCACCAACAAAGCAAAGGCCAAAACCCCAGCACCAGAACCCACTACAGCGCAGGCCCAGGGCGCTAGTACAAATCCCCAGCAAGGATCGAGTAGCCGGCCACCATCGCGCGAGCCTCAAGTATCAAGTACACAAGCCGCATCGGATACTCAGGTGACCCCGGATGGAAAGACGAAACCGCCGGCGAAGGAATCCTCATCGGGGCGTATTCTTCGTCACCTTGGCCTTTCTGGGGGTGTCAACTTAAGTAACAAAGCGAAGCGAGCTTCGGTAGTAGCAGGTGGAAGGACTAATACCTCTACCTCCGTACCACCTCCGAGTGCAGGCGGAAGTACAGCCAAAGAAAAAATGGCCAATACACCTCCGAACGTGGTCCCTGGCACAATCCAACCTCCGGTGCCGAAGAACAACAGAGTTGAACGCGCAGAATCAAGTCGTATTCCTGGCGTAGGCCCAAGCAATGAGCCGTACATTTCTCAGGAGCCGGGTTCGAGCACGGGCATGCAAGCCCAGACGACCGATACAGGGACCGGTGCACCAAACGGCCAAGTCGCAAGTTCAAATTCGAGTTCAACATCGAATTCAACCGATGGCGCAGTGCTACCACATTCTATAGAGGTACCCCACTCCTTATCGCCTCTTAGTTTAAATTGAATGCTGAGATAATTATTAATATTTCGATAGCGCGGGGATGGTGCAACTGAGAACGATAGCCCTAGATCGAGTAGTGATCACACTTCAGTCGAGTAACCGTGATCTGAGAAGGTATGTTGTTCCGGAATGGTATCTTATTTATTGAAAAGCTCTAATATCTCTGTGTGATAGGGCTGGTTATGGATAAATGGCCGGTCGGATGGTCTATTTGAGAAGGGGAACATTAGGACATGTTATTTATGATGATATAACGAGTGCGCGATTGTAAATAAGATAAACTAGCCTACGCTTCTTTTCTTTCGTTACTCTTTGATCTATCATCCTAGGTCTAATGTAGTTTGTTTCCACTCGTGTCCAAGGCTTGCACCTAATTCTATCGGCTCGGGTGGTTAGCTTTCTAATTAGCGAGATGCTTAAATCTGTACCTCAGGTATTTGCGACCAGGGATAGGATCTATAAACTCTAACAATGATATCTGATTTCCGGGTTTCGGTCCATTAATAGTTTCCGGCCATGTGCATTGTTCTTGATCGGGAGTACAGTACCCTATGGTACAATCTTTTGTATGTGGGGCGGTAAATGACCCTTGCCGGAGCGATGAATAGTGCAAGAAAGAGCAGAAATCGCTGTGTTTAGCGAAACTCCGTTCATCTACCGGACTATGCCGATAGAGTCCGGTGATATCCTCCAGTAAAGGTGATTGGCCTCTGGGGGGGATAATATATCTGTTCTGATTTTAACGTTGTCCCAAAAGGGATTGAACAGTCGATAGCAGCAAAAGTAGGATGGCTGCCTGCTAGAAAGGATGATCATCTCCTGTGAGAGGTAACTGCCCTGATAGCTTACTTGGTCAGGTCAAGAAATATGAAATCTGTCAAGAACTCGATAGCATAGTTGATAAGACTCTGAGTATGAACTCAGGATGGCCTGGGTTCGAACCCCTGGAACCCTACTTTTTAAAAAGTCATGCTATTGTTTTGGGATACTCCATGGGTCCAGCAAGGTGAATGACCGCCTATTCAGGGCAATTCTTTTCAAAGTTATCCTGATAGAAGGGATACACAGGTTACTCCACAGGGATATATCATCCCCTCGAATGCTACCCCATATGACAGGTAAATTATCTTTTCGAAATTGTTCTCTAGGGAGTACATATCCAAACGGTGCAATTGATATGAGAGATGCGCAAAGATATGTACAAAAAGATCATTTTATTCCATCCCAGTAATCCATTATTTGGACACCTAAAATGGTTGGCGCACGTCACTTCTTCAGCAAAGATGTGGCATAAATATTAGGTATACCTATTTTAATGCAAGAGCCAAGTACACAGCCCCGTCCTTTTATAGGTGGTCATAATAATATCTCAAACTACCAATCGATTAAATACCTAATTGTAAATACTTTCATATTCTCGTATATGCTACTAGGGGGTCCATCCACCTCGCGACCGCAAGTTATTACTTTTGATATCCCGAGTTGGCCCCAGCTCTCCTCCCAGCTCTTCTGCAAGCTCCTCTCACTGCTTCCCTTCCAGCTTTCTTCCAGCTCTCTTTCCCTTTCCCTCTAATTCCCTCTCCTTCTACACTTATGGGCCTTCGGCCCCCTCGATCCCCCTCCATATACATCTTAATTTTGGTGGGGTGGGCTGGTTACCATGTGGGTTAGGATTTCAGGCTACACGCAATAGAGCTTTTACAGATTAGTTTGAACCCTAACCTTACGCCAAGCGCTTAGCAGCGTTGTGGTCCACGTGGGGCAGCATGTAATGAATGACCTTTCTAATCAATTGTTTTAATCCATACGGGCATATTACATTTTGGCGCACAGGGATGAAATTTATTTAGTGAACATGACCAAATTGATTTTTGAATATTAACCAAGTGATCATTCATGTTCCGACAATTATTGAATCTGCACAGTCTGCAGCTAGAGATGAAAGTCATGTCAATCGCGCTCAACTGGGGAGGGGGGTATTTATATTTAGCACAGTTTTAGTTGTCTTAGAAGGTGTAGATAGAATCAGGAGGGGGTGGCAGAGCTCATGTGAGAAAAGAGAGAAGCATGTTATAACTATGTGATTATAACAAAATACATGTTCGTTCCTAGCACTCCCGCTGTCAGAACTCTTTGCCAACCTTATAGGCTTAATTTCAACACGTCAACGCAATCTCTCAGAATCTAAGTGTTAGGCACAAGTCAAGCACAGCGCATAGTACAAACCTGGTCGTGTTCGGAATGCAACTTTCAGCCTCAAAAAGTGCATATCTCATCACTCGGTTGCCAAGCCGATGTGGGAGAGCTGGTTAGACTAGCACGGGCACACCTCAGTCGGGATATCTACACCACCAACTCCCGTCCCACGAAATGGCAGAAAGCTCCCACCCGAACAAATTCAGGTCGTCTTTCGGGCCCATGCCCGCGGTGCCTATTATTCAGTCCGCCTGCTCCTCAGACCCGGACTACCCAATCCCTCAAGCGCTCGGCCACGCCGGTGAATTTGAGATACCCCCCGGGCCCAGCGATGCGTCCGCCGCTACGGAAAATTATAACAGATTTCTCTTGCTGACGATCTACACGGGGCATCGACTCCACTCGGCCCAGCAATATCATATTATTGTCAAGCGTAGCTTACCGGCAAATGCAGGTAATACGTGCGCTAAAGACCTATTCATGGCCATTAGACATGCGTATGACTATAAGCTGCGACGGTTCTGGCAGCGTTATTTGTCGCTCCGTTGTCTCAAGTATATCGGACTTCTAGAGGTATAACTCGCTACAGTCAAGATTGTATTTGGATTGAGCTTGCCGGCTGATTGCAGGTAGTATTCAGGGTAGTATCCGGTTTTTGTGAATATGCATTCCACAACCCGCCAAAGCTCAAAACAACAGATACCTGGGTCAACTGGGTCTTCGCGCTTAAGAACAGCCCCCCACGGCGCTACGGACTTGAGTTCGTTCAGGGCGGGGATGAAGAAAAGATCATGATACTCGGCGCTGTTACTTGGGTTAGCAGTGTGCTAACGGCGATTATATGGGGCATTCTCGGCGACGTACAGTCCGCTATTGCTGTGGCGAGTTATCTTTTGACGGCAAGCGGGAGTGAGTGTCCTAGCATTCCCACGATTATTAACCATTACTAATAATTGTGAAGGTTTGCTGGCGCTTCTAGCGATCGTGAGCAAGCTAGAGGGATCGATTGATACTATAGGTGATACGGGTATGAAGGTCGGATTAAACACAGTATCATCGCCCCGGCCACCGACCCCAGATTGAACTTTCTCCAAGTCCATCCCCACGCCGTATAACCCTAGAGGAGGGAAATGATATATCTTTTGTGCTGTATATCAGCCAAAACTTGATAAGAGCCACATCTAATCATGACTACCAACATGCCGTTTATCCCCAGCCGTCTAACGGCTTCCCGAGAACGGTGCCAAAGCGGCGATTGCACTCATTAATAGATTTTATCTGATACTGGAGATACCCTATCTCTTGGCGTGGGATCTCAGTAGACCTATGAAACTCGGAAGTGAGCGTTATCCCATAGTCCGTCAAACAATACTGCCGTCCCCCTCCAGAAAAAGCAAGTTGTGTGTGACTTTATTAACAGATCCTGTTATATCCCTTGTTACATAAGAGTTCTCCCATATAAAATTCAATTCCTGTATTATAGGGGGTGGCTGCTTTGACGGACTATGGGATACCGCAGCGCATCCGAACTTGAGGAACTTCTGAGACGAAGGATAGTTCAACAGTACCGGAGCGAGACAGAGAGGAGAGTGACAACTTGTACATCTGGTCCCTCGGTCTGACCTATCTGTCATTTACCCCTTTGGCAGCCGTGTCCACTTGGTGTGCCCAGGCCTTTCTGTTCTTTCCGACGGTAGCATCACCGTACTTAACTAACATTGTTATCGCTAAGTAATCTCTCCATCTGCTTCATGAGTGAAACGGGAAATCCCGCTTTAACGACTAGGTGTGCGGCTCGGGTCATGACCCCCAACTCCTTCTCCAGCATTCGGCACTCTGGAGGTCGACCTGAGCGATGATCATCCTCTTGGCCGCATGAGTCCCGGGTGTGTGTTGCCGGGATAAGCTTAGTTAACGCGATTCGGTAACCCGGTAATAGTTGCTCGGGAATAAGATTGGCGAGGAGGCAATATCTTGACGATCCCAAGTATGGCAAGAAACAGTCAAGCAACAGCCAAGCTTACATGCTGCTGAAATTTTATTTATTGTGCGCAGTCCAAAGGTAAAAGCGAGCCTACCGGTCCAATAAAGATCGAATACATAGAGTAACTTTTTTCCAGACTGCTTCCACAACCATTTCTCCACTATCGGTAATTTTTGTTTCAACGGACTTCCCAATGCGCTGCCATTTTTAATCATTAATACTTTTCCTGCGATCAACCTCGCACTTTTCCTGCTAATGATGACTTTTCAAACGACTCTATACACTCACATTATCCAACATTACTTCCTGCCAATTATCCGACCATTCATTTACCTAATTACCTTCAATTACCCCAGGAAGCGTGTCTCCCACGCGGGCCTCACCAACTGCGGTTTTTACCGATATTATCCTTACAACGCCACATATCCGTTATTCCAACAGCTTTCCTGCCGAATAATATAAGATTATGCTTCAGTGCTCGTAGTTTAATTATAGTAGGCATTATTGTGAACAGAAGCTACGAACGTAAGGATGCTATATAGAGCGTCTTGCCTTTTTGTATGCGGGTTACGATAAGTAAGTGAACATGAAAATGGTAACCATAGAAACCACCCAACCGTACCAAAATTCCAAAGTCGCACTGTGATATTTTACCCGTAGTTACTATTACTAATTCATATACTAGACTGTTTTTCTCTATAGTCTTGTAGTTGTAGAGAAATAAGTGTTTAAAGTTCCACTCCTTACAAATTTTGGTTGCAACCTCAATGTTCGCTTACTAGTGATCTCTCTTTTTTTTTTTTTTTTTGTTTAATTCCATAATTCCATTTACTTGTGATTGATTGTATTGATGGTGATGTACTCGAGAGGGAGCTATTCTCTCCTCCTATCCCCCTATTTATAACACGCTATATTATACAAGCCATATCATCCTCTTATCTGGCTTAATGCTAAGACATTACTACATTCATACTACATGATACAATACGTGCTCCCACACCTTTGGCCGGAGAACAATGAAGGGATGTTTAGCTACTCGTAAGATGTGGGGTAATACAAGGATTAGCTTCTCTTCCTGCGAGATATCTAGAATCACAAGGCTGAATAATTTAGTTAATACGCTCGCTATGTTAATAATAGCACTTCCGAAACCCTGAATCTTTTGCGGAACTTGATAGCTAGATAATCTTTGTATACACCCCGGAGCCTAGCACCCGCTACTTCTTTACCCTAAACACTTACATATATATAAGCGACTAATTTCTTTACTGATCATGCTGTGGTTCTTTTACTCTCATTGGCGAGGGCATTGATTAACACTTTACACAGCGTATGCCACTAAAGCAATTAATAAAGACGTATTCGGAGTACAATATATACATAAGCGATGCATTAGGTGACCATTTTGCCCATACCCTACGGAGGTCCCGCTATTTTTTGCGTTTGTAATAACACCTTCCGGAGATGATATCCCGCACTGGAGCAGGGTCCCAGCCATTCTGCTGTTCGTGGAATGTCTGTCTGAGACTAGGCGAAGGGCCCCAAAAAATATAGCCCTACTCCTCCCTCCCTCTTACCGCCCTACATCCCACACACCCACTAAACTATCGAAGGCGAGGGTGAATCACGAGATATCACTCGTTCTACAAATAAATTTACTCTCTCATGGAAATAATTTTTTAAAGCACTAAAGACGCAGAGAGAGACACTTCCAACCTTTCCATGAGAGTCTATACGGTGTTCTAGTGAAAATACGCGAAATCCGCACCCCAGCAGAGAGCGGTAATGCATAAATAAAGTATCACTCGGTCAGCTACTATCACTCTGTCGCATGGATCGTGCTGGGGTAGACAAGCGGATAAGAAACCTCAGAAAGAAGTCAGGCGTGAAACAAGTACAGCCGCAACATATAATTCCTGAGGAACTCGCAACCTGATAAGGAAATTGCCGAACGCCCGTGGAGTCCTGTGTGCGGGGGCGGTCGGGGGGTGCGGTAGGTGGCGGGCATGGGTGCTTTACCCGCTCTATCATGCCTCAGGATAGGTGTCCAGACCAGCTGAGCAGACAGATATTGTATCAAATAATCCAGACACCTGACCGATCTTCGGAAGTTCAATGCGGATGGTTCCGGGCCTACGTCATGAGGTTTTTTCGCCGCTTCCCATCCCTTATTTCGCCGACCTACCGCCGCCCAGCCCGTAACCCTACGGAGTCTTTGGCGCCCTACCTCCTACGTTCGCTTAGAATGTGGGTATTTTTGCCACTTACCCGCCATAAAGGTGTCAATACGTGTTTTCGCCGCCCAAACCCTAGCCCTGTGGCATTTTGGCCGCTGCCCCACACCCAGCCCTTCCTTAGCGCCCCTCCTTTTGGCTGCTCCCAACCTTGGCGCCGAGTATAAATACCAACCTACCTTCCCTTCCTTCCCCGCCTTCCCTTCTTCTCAACTCATCAGCAATCATCGTGCTCCCGGATTGTTCCACCGTTGCCTCGTACCTTCTCAAGAGGAATTAGGCAAGGGTGGAACAAGCTGGACAGTAGGAAGGATTGGCTGGTGGTGCCTGACTTGATCATCGTGCTTCTGGATTAATTGTTCCACCGTTGCCTTGTACGCTCTCAGTAACGAAGCAATGATGGAACAGGCTGGAGAGTAAGAAGGATTTGGGTTAGGTTTTCGTTTTCTCTCTTCACCTCTCTCTCTCTCTCTTTTTTTTTTCTTCTTGTTCGCTGGATGTGTTTTTGTGCCTACTTGATCAATCGATTCATTGATTGATAACTAATTAAATGTATTCATGTTATTGCGAGAATTTAGACAGTTTTGTGTTTGGTTCTGCTAGTGTTCTGTGAATGTACTAAGGGTGAGTTCGTGGTGTATGTGGTTAGCGCATGGCTAGGGCTTATTGGTTACTTGAACAGATCATATTTCGGGGGTGTTCACAGTCTCCTAAGTGTTTACTTTTTCTGGCGATAGTTGGTGGCCCTATAACTCGTAAGTGCAAGGTATATAATAACTCAGTCTATACAGACGGATGTTTAAGCCTCTATCCGCTGCTGAACGCCATATTTCAGTTTATGTGTTATTCAATAGGCGATTACTGTATACAAAAGGAAATCACTACCACCGAAGCTCCAGTATTAAACACCAGGTTGCGAGACACTTCCAGAACCTGGTTGTGCGCGCATAGTGAGCTCGGGGAGTCGCTACCGTAGACACTAGACGAGCCAGGTTCGGCATTCTAGACACACGCGTAAACCAATCATCGTAATATATGCAGCGATTATCGATGAAAGGCAGTAATTCTTAGTCTAGAAATAACGTCATATTAATACGTCTGTTACGAGTAGCTCGATGCTTGGAGATTATTAATCTCATGTACAAGGGAGTACCGCGATATACCTCATATATTAGCGCGAAATATGTCTCTACAAGCAAAATCAGGGTGGCTCAGAGAAGCGGGGGATGTGGCGCTCCTCCGACTGCCAAAAGGCTAGCTGGACTGACAACCTCTGCGAGATATTTCCAAAGATGATCTAGATTCCACGCAAGATCCGGTCTGGTGTGTTAAGAACTAAATACCGCACACTCAAGATAAATCAACCCATAGATTCTCACTCGATTCTAGAATTTTCATGATATATCACTCGATCACGTGTCCTCATGTCGGTGCAACACACGCGTTGCTCCCGTCGTGGGGGGAAGAACTGCAAGGACTTTTTTGTTGTTTGTTTGTTTAATTCATTAATTGCGTGCAACACTACGATTATGCAATGAGAACTGCGAGGATTAGTGTATTGAGAGGTCTGTGCTTGAGAATTTGGTCGGTTTCGTAGTGTACATAAGGACTCAAACGTTCTGGAAAGTATATATCGGCACATAACACCTGCTATTCCGGGAAAAATGCAGAGTTCCGAATGGTTTTCTGGAAGTTGTTTAGGTTTGTTCAGCCAAAATTACAATAGGTGATCGAGTGAGTTACATGTCACTTTAGTTTCGCATTCTTACCTTCAGAAAGAGTGAACAGGAAGGTGTAGGGAACGAGTGATATCATATGACCCACCACCGATCGTGGGATCGCTGTTAGCTGTTTAGCTTTCAAGG